CACACCTTTAAGTGGAAAAATCATCACATATATTAGATTTTCTTTAACAATACATTTTGCCCAACAAAATCCCTAATTTCAGGTTTAAACCTTTAAAACACTGGAAAAACGGATGATCTGACCAAGTCAAATTATTTATTTATGGTTAAAGAATATTGCTGATTGTCTTGTTTTAAGTATAATGGAACATGTTTTGTTGTCTGAGGAAGCCTTTGCCTTTTTTACTTAAATTGCACTTGTCTTGTTGTGATAAGGAATTTTGTTATTTACTTTGTTATTTTTAGATACAAATTTCATCAAAAGAAGTGAGTGGGTCAGGCTAGAAAACGTAATGTTTTACCACTTAACGCAGACCGAGTGTTAACTCACGAGCCCTTTTGAGACATGACCCTGAAATCTTCCTGGGTAGCTCTTTCACACATGATCCTGACATTGTTGTTAAAACAGATGTCATGGAAGATACAATGCAATGTCTATAATATATACAAGATGGTGGACAAAGCAACATCTGAAGGTGTGATGACAGTTTCTGTCTTGGATGTATTCTCCGTATAAGTGGTTGGAAAAGGGTGGAAAAGAACATACTGGCAAGCAGAAAATAATACGTTGCAGCTTTTTTATTTGCAAGAAGACAGAACCATTCATGCAGTGGTTGCAAAACATAAATGTCATCACCCCTACCCATTTGCTTCGGGTTATTTTCCAGAATATTAACTGTTATGCCTTGCAAAACTTTTGCTAGAGGGCAGGGAGGAATGTGTGTAAGGTGGGGTTAGAAGGTTGTCTGTTTGTGTTTACACATGCATCTCATCCTGAAAAATGTGGGGATATTTTCAGGTGTTTTGTGCGTGTGTGAATAGGCTAATGGTATATTGCCAATCAGGTTTACACATGCAAGGAATTTTTTCAATGTAAAAAAAATCAACAAAGAAATAGAATGAAAGGTAAACAAAAAGCTTGCACAGAGTAAGACTCAGAAAATACCTTACATATTATCATGTTAAACATGTCTAAAATATGTCAAGGAATAGTTACCTATATTAATTCTAACTTAAAGCTCTAATTCTCACCCTACACTGCAACCTCAATTGTTTTCAGAAGCAAAAACCAGATATTTTTCACCTTTTTATTCTTATGAGCACATTAAGTTCTAAATAGTCTACAAATACACACACACACACACACACACACACACACACACACACACACAAGCACACACATTCCAGCACACAGGCAGAGTTTCTCCTACTGTAAGTGGTTACCATAGATACCACATGGTGAGGCTCGTGAAGTACAGTGGGTCCATCTCACGTGGGAGAAATCATGTATTTATAGAAGCACTGTGGTGTGGCCAGAAATGACTTTAAACAATACACTTTTTTTGGGGTAATAACAAGCAATGAAGTGTTGTAGTGTGTAAGAGCGACTGTGTGCTCTGTTGTAAGAGTGTGTCAGCAGTGACTTTGAATTGTCATTGTGTGGAGTGCTTCAATGTGATAAAAATAAAGTGGATGTTGGAACTGTCCGTGGTGCTGGAAAACATGTACAGTACAGCATTCAGAATGTTGAGACGGGTGAGATCTTTCTTTGTCTTTCTTCTGTTTCTTCCTTTCTGTCCTTGTCATCTGTTTCTGCAGATTTCTTCTCTTCCTCACAGCATGCTTTTATGTATGTCAGTCTCAGTCTGTTTTCCACAGAAAAAAATGGATGACTAGCACTAAGCAAACAGCTTATAAAAAAAACCACTCTGCCATCTGAGAGCTCTTTTTCCTTCAAAAAGGTCAGCAAGTTTTTGAAAAGTTTCTCACAATAATCTGCTTGCTCAGCACCCCAGCTTCACGTTAAAACGACTCGAATCCAGAGAACATATCATGACATGTATAATTAAATCCTATTTTGTGGAATAATGAACCAATTAACAAACTCCTACTGAAGCCGCCTTTTCCGTCATCAAAACACGCCGGGTTTTGAAGTGTGTCCCCTTATCTTCCCAAAGTAATTGTACTTCTGAAATTGACATAATTGAATTGCTACCCATCCTGGCATACGTGGCTGTATTGTTCTCATGGAATGGGCCATTCATATTTGCAATCCATCACAATTACTGCACCCTTTTCATCTCCATGAATTGTTCAGTGATTATATTTATTGGAAATATTGTCTACAAGGTGTATTAGCCTTCAGTCCTTTAACGTTCTTCACTTGACATGGACTTTAAAAACTAAAGACTGATTATAGAAAAGATGTAACTTTGGCCAGGTAGCATTGAGAACTTGATTTCAAAGTATGGCATCATATCAGTTAAACCTGTCAAAGGATTCACCTGAGTTGACAATAATCTTGTTGACTCTCTTGACTTTTAGAATTATGGTAGCTGTTTTTATTCTATGATCTGCATTTATGTATCTCTAAATTTAGCGCGTCTCACCATCTGCTTCTTTGCATCACAAACTGTGGATGTTGGCTCAGTGACTGACGGAGCACACTGGGTATCCGGGGAGACGGTGTTTAAGTCAGGAAGGCAGGCTTTTACTTTTTTTGAGAAGCAATCCCTAAATCAGTCATTCTGTCTGCTATTCGGCCATTTAGAAGAAGCACCTAGCTACTTAGCATGCTATTATATCCATCTGACAGTCAGACAATTAACCAGCCAGTAAGCTTGTCTATAAAGGAAAATACAATCAATGCTGATCAAGTGAGAAAAACAGGAAGCCAAAACATAAGTTTATGCAAGAACAATATTTTAGTGCAAATATAGAATCTGGTTTTGGGCCAATATAATCGTCTTCATCTTAAATAATACTGAAAGTCTGCAGACCTTCTAAGCATTAAATACACAACCCTAAAGTGAAGTATGAACTCAGTACAGCGATGATACTGTATTATGCTAATATTGTCCAAGTAACAGATTTTATTATAGGTCACATGCCTAAAAAGCAGAGATTAATAACGACTGTGTGGGTGTGACGAGTGCATGATACTCACAGCTACCAGCTATAAAGGTGGATTAAGAGTAATGGTCCTCGACTATGTCGTGTCAGTATGTGTGTCCAATTCATGTGTGTGTGCGTGCACTGTACATGTGGTCCTCTGCTTACTTGTGATGCTAGAAGCCATCGCATAGCATGCTAAGCACCAGCACAAAGTAAGTCATCCTGGATCATCCATAGGCTCATCTAGTGCCAGCAAAGTAAATCAGGTCAGAAGCATTTCGTGGGCAGTGTGTAAATGAGCTGACCCCGGTTGATAAGACCAAGTTGATCACAGCATTGGGGTCGGATTACTCTGTCAACCAGCGTGCCAAAAGGGAAACTGAAACAGCAAATTGTTGACGAATAATTTAAAGGTTAATCTCAACAGACACCCCACCCCATACCACCACTTCTCCTACAACCTCGCTACGGCTAAATCTTTGTCTACTACCCCTACAGATATCCCCCTATAATGTCATTACATAATTAAGGTCACACCTGCCAATTCTACTCCTACAACTGCTACAACATATTTTCCTCTTTCCCTGCAACTTTTGGATGGTAGGTTGTACTGCAGATTGAGAAAGTATCAAAAGATGTGTGCTTGATCCCCAGTACTTCCAGTGTGGATGCATATGTGTCAGATTAACCGCCTATACCAACCAACAGATGTTGTGTCACTGTCGTGTCTCTGAGGAAATGCACTCATTCTAGTGTATTACATGTGGAAACAAAGTTTTACTTTATGTGAACTTGAAATCCTTCAGAAAAGTTTACCTTTATTATAACGATGGAGCTAAATCTAGCAGCACTAACCAAGTTTTTTAGTGCAACCAGAGAGGAATGCTTTCATCAGATCTGTTACAGTTGTGTCTAATCCCCTTTGAACGGACTAACTCTGGGTTCACTTGACCTGAAACTGATCCATTGTTGTTTGCATATGATTTTAATCATGTTTTGAGATGATTATATAACTTCTGTTTGGACTACAAAGAGAACAGAGTTGAAGGATTATGTTGCGTAATCATTCCCCACATTTCAGTGCTGTCAGAAGAATATCCTATATTTTTCTTCTGCCTCAGAATGAATTATTGATAACATGACTATGATACCACTTATAATTAAAAAGTAATGACGTGCCGAAAAAATATATTCTAGTTCACTGATCAATGGAGAAGTGATGCAGTGAAGACGTGCGCTGACACTGGAACATCAGAAAACATCAGATATTTGATTGGTTTTCCTTACTCATACATCACAATATAATATGGGTCTACCTTTTAGTGTCAATAGGACTAAAGTTACTTATATGTCCAGGGCACAACTTATATATAGCTTTGAAGTATCAACTGGTAGTGGGAAAGAAAATAACCTCCAACATACAGTAGTGCTTGCTTTACTGCTTAACGACTTTTTTTTTTTTTTTTTACTAAAGTACCACTGAAGGGGCCACTGGTGAAACTTTCCACCCAACATTGAAACTAGATTCACCAAAAAAGTACAAATTCTACTCCCAACAAGGTTAAACTTCTTATCCCCCCCCTGTTGGTGGTTTGCACACTGCCACTTACTGCACAAGTGATGCAAATTATTTAATTCTGTTTCTGCAATAGAAATTAACTCATGTCATTCTGGTTGAAACAGCTGATTTTGGCTGTATGGTGAGGTTTCCTTGCTCCTCATCCATGGATATTGTGAGTTTGTAGTTGCACTAAATGTATCTACCACCTACTCCACTCAACCACCCAACCAATATATGAATCACAGTTCAGCATGCTTTATGTGGAGTAGCATTTTTTTGTCTTTGCAGGGGCCAAATACGTACTGGTAACAAAAGCTTCCAAGTTGATAGTGAAAAATATATAATTCACAAATTATTCTGAATTCAAGAGGTCCCTCCTTATAGTGGCAATTTATTTATGAGAATTGTGTTTATGCAAGAATTCTTACACTTCTCCCTCCCCTCTCTTTCTGTTTCTATTCCTCTCCTTTCCCTTAAATCCCATAATCAAATAGACACAGCAACCACTCAACACACACGCTCTGTCAATATCCACGTTGCATGTGAGACCAGTGTATTTCTTGTAAAATGCCTTCTTCGGTGGACGCTGAAGCCCCCCTCGTCCCTCCTCTTCACTCTCTTAAAAACTCTTCAGGTTTTTCCAACTGAGCGATTCAGGCTGAGGCGGGCGCAACCGCACTAGAAGGAAAGTGAAGTCGTGTTGGACTGGCGCGATATCCTCGCACGGTTCACAACTAAAAGAAGACCTGACGCGCGTTTAATCATGTTTCTAAACGATGGAATATGCTGATTTTGAAAGTTGACCAGGGATTTCTAATTGTGGGGTGTTTGCGAGGGATGGCTTTCCTTTTAACTTGCTTATTTCTGGCTTGGTGAGTATGACAACTCTTTCCTCTGCATGTTCTCCGACTTTTACGCACGGGAATTAAAGACTGTGGATCGATGTGCATTTTGAAACTCTGTATTTTCCAATGTTCTTTATCCATTTGAATGAACTCTCAATATTGCTTATGCACTTTGGTTACAGTGCAAGCAGTGTTTGGGGAAATAAGAACGGTGACACCAGTATCTATTTGGATAACATCACGCGCATATTGGATAGATTACTGGATGGCTATGACAACAGGCTGCGACCTGGATTTGGAGGTATGCCCATGACCGTGTCATGTTGTATTGTATAAAATATTGCTCCAAAAATTATTAAATTATTTCATTCTGCCTGAAAGAAAAAGTTTTACTCCATGAGTTGTGTGTGTCTCATTTAGATTCAGTATATTGTGCTAAAGTCATCTAACACGGAAAATCATTTCTTTTGTTATACAATGATGATAAAATTACCAGCTAATGACAGGAAACAATTTGAATACAGTTTGGAATCCATTTCATGCACTGGCGTTGTTGAAGCCGATTTGAGTCAGTTACCCTTCTTTCCTTATGAGACTATGAATTAAAAAATATCTCTAGCCTTGTTTTAGAAAAAAAAAAAACCTTTAAATATCTCTTCAGAAGTTTTTGTCTTTTTTCTGCATCAAAGCAACTTACTTATCCCTCTGCTGTAGGTCCAGTTACAGAGGTCAAAACTGACATCTTTGTCACCAGCTTTGGACCTGTTTCAGATGTTGAGATGGTATGTAAGATATGCTGACTGCTGAAACACACACACGCACACACACACACACGCACACACACACACACACACAGAATACACAGGCTGATTTCACTGGCTGACATGCACACGCACATGTTTCATCACTTGTTATCAAAGTCAACGTCAATACACAAACAGAAAAGAAAAAAGAATATGTCCAGTCTTCCCGGCATCTCTGTGCATTGGCATCTCAAGTAATGGTCCTCCCAGCCTTCATTATTCCAGCATTTGGGCTGGATGTCATTAGTGCAGCTTAGGATTTTAATCTGGTTGACAATCCCCTCGCCAGAGAGGGAGAGCGAGAGAGATGTGGCTGATGTTGGGATGGGGATAGTTTTCTACTCCTGACATGGGATAGGCTGAGCACTGTATATCTGTTGTCCTGTGCACTGCTTAGGCTTTAGACACTGTTTTCCTGCATCTATAGCCTACTTGAACTATCATGTGATATGCTGGTGACAGTTCCATAGAGAGGCATTTAAAAGGCTCTCCAGGGAATCAGGCCATCCATTTGATCTAAAAGCATCCAGGATAGACACTTATTGAAGAGTTTATGCTTACTCTGTAGATGAAATAAAGTCTATAAATAACATAATTATTCATGTTTTATAAGATCATCAGTCACCAATCAGTAAATTCAGTTTATTTTAATATCTGACAGGGCATAGAAAATAAGATAAAAGCTTAAAAAAAAACTGAGAAAAATTATGTTTAATGTCTTCAGTTTGAGCTGAATTGTGTAAAGAAGGAATTTGATATATCCTCTTATTTTTTTTCCAATCATAATACTAAAAACAGCAGGAACAGCCTGGCTTTTTTATACTGGTAGGACCATATGAATAGTCCATAAATAAAAAAAACAAGTAATCAGATTGCCAGAAATCCACCAGCAGGTCCATCAAAACCACGGCTCATAAACCCATCTGTTATTCTCTCCGGGGGTACTGGAGATACTAGCAGCAGAAGCAGCACCAGCAGCAGTAGAAGGAGACATGGTAGAGATGGTAGTCAATACAACCTCAATTCACACTCTCACCTCCCACCCAGGAATACACCATGGACGTGTTCTTTCGTCAGACTTGGATCGACGAGCGGCTAAAATTTGAGGGCCCCATCGAGATCCTGCGGCTCAACAACCTGATGGTCAGCAATATCTGGACACCCGACACCTTTTTCCGGAATGGCAAGAGGTCGATCTCGCACAACATGACCACCCCCAACAAGCTGTTCCGCATCATGCAGAACGGAACTATCCTCTACACCATGAGGTAAACAGTGCTGGACAGTCAGCTCCAAACCAAGCCAAGACCGGAATAGAGCGCAGACCTGGACAGCAAATCAAACAAACAAGCATCCAAGAATATGCACAGACATGAAAAGAAATGAGAAGTGCTTTTCCAAAAAAAAACATGATATGTGGCATCTGATACTGAAAACAGGCCCTGGAAGGCAATTCAAACAAACATGACTCCGCTTCCGTTCCAAAAAGACGATGTGTAGCAAAAATGAATCCCCTCGAGTTACTGATGGCACAAAATGTGATTTTAAAAGTAATTAGGTGGATCAAACATACTTAAAAACACATGATAATTAAGTTATTTCATCCAAATATTCACTCACATGAAAAGTGACCTTAGCTTGAGGTAAAGTTACATCTTTCTCTAAAACAGCATAAGATATATTTCTAGGATGTGATACAAACTCTTAAATATTCAGTTTATAAAATGTTTCCGTGTAACAACAAAAAAGTCAAACCCTCCCTGTAAACATTTTATTATTCTTTCAGATTGACTATAAACGCTGAGTGCCCCATGCGTCTGATGAACTTCCCGATGGATGGCCACGCCTGCCCACTCAAGTTTGGGAGTTGTGAGTTCGTTGGTTTGTTTGCTTTTGAAGCCTTGCTGTTCTGACAGATGGTGTCACTCTAAAATGATCAGTCTGTTGTCGAGACAGTGACTGATGGGGGAATCTGACAGCGCATTGGCAAAGATTTCAATTGGAAATGTCATACACAGTACATGTGGGTAAATGTAACTGTATATATAAGGCCCTATCCTGAAAACGTTGTACAAAATGAAAAGTGTTAAGGTTATCTGTAACTGTTATTTTGTATCAGCTACAACAAGAGATAGTTGCTGCTTTCCCTTTGAACATCAGTGTCATGGGTCAAATTCTTTGAAAGTACAAGAATGTGCTTTTTTTGGCTCAAGGATGATGTCTAAGAACTTTTTCAGCATACTGACATGCAGGTTTGTTTTCAAGGCTTGACGGTTTGTATGCTTATTTGATTTCTTATTAGTGAAAGGTCAACTTTGAATGCCAGACACCGTTGAAACATTAAAGACTGTCATGTATTTTAAGCCATCCTCTGAACATTTCAAAGTAACTTTAAGTTACTTTGCACTTTGAGTCCAAAATTATTGAAAACAAGAAAGAAAATAAAGCACCCAGCATATTTAACATAGCTCTTCATGTATCCTGCCCTAGATGCCTACCCCATCAGTGAGATTGTGTATACCTGGAAGAAAGGTCCCATGTCTTCTGTTGAGGTGCCAAAGGAATCATCCAGTTTGCTTCAGTATGACCTCATTGGTCAAACAGTGTCAAGTGAGAGGCTAAAGTCCAATACAGGTGAGCAGAAATGTGAACAGAAATCTAATCAATTGTACTGTATGTGTTGAGTATGTTGATTTCTGAATTGCATATTTGAGTGTAGACTGTGGTTATAACATAAATCAATATGCACACAAGCAAAACGATTGATTAATAATTCCATTATTAGCATTCTAAGTCTGATGAAGCAGTTATCAACAGTATGATTGTTTTTGCACAAACATATGTTCATGAATGGATGATACATCAATTGTTTCTGTAAATTGTGTATCTCCCACCAGAAAAGCTAACTTGTGTGGTGTTCCCCCTGTCAGGTGAATATGTCATCATGACCGTCCACTTCCACCTACAGAGGAAAATGGGCTTCTTCCTCATCCAGACTTACATTCCCTGCATTATGACTGTCATCTTGGCCCAAGTCTCATTCTGGATTAATAAGGAATCCGTTCCAGCTCGGACTGTGTTTGGTGAGCTTTCATTATTCTCATTTTCAGTTGTACAACTTCTGAGCTCATTTTACAAAATCATGTAAATTAGCAGACAGAGGACACATGGAAAGGAATACATGCTGCCCATAACTTTCTGGCTGGTTTGGAGTCATTTAGACAATCAGAACGTATTCTCGTGCCAGAAACGATTTTGCAGATAACGTAGCATTCTTCTCAGTTGTCATTTTGCAAGATTGAAAACACTAAGAACTGTAATGTGTTAAAAAAAATGGAATTCACATCAATATGCTTGGGAGAACAAGGGAGAAGGAGATTTTCCAATGCTCCTGCCATGGGTCCTCCCTTATGGTGTAGTGTCTTACAATGAAACGTTTTGACCTTCCATTACTCAACTTCAGCTCTTATAGGGTTCTAAGCTCAAATGGAAATTTCCTGGATTTATCAGCTCACCACCCACTGCTTGACCCCAGTGTGTGTCCTTCTCTGCAAAACTTTAAGCCAACATACTTCCTCTATTTACTGCATCCTAATTGGTTAAAACTATGCAAAAGAAGCCCATAGAACATCACCTTCTACTGTCGGTTATTTCGATTCCTCCTCCACTGTAGTGCGGCTGAATTAACTGGGAATAAATGTCCTTTTTTGAAAAATTGGACATGGAAGGGGCCAAGAGAGGGAGGATGTTTACTTGGCCATCATCCGAGCACTCACAGGTTCCGCTTGCTCACATTACATTACGCTACAGTTGCTATCAAGATCTCGCCTGGGGAGCAGAGAGGGTGAGAGACAGTGAACAAAGACAGAGACGAAGTGGAAAGAGGGAGATACAGGGAGATGGAGACAAAGGACAGAGAAAAATAATGGGGAACAGTGTGCAAAAGGGTCTGGGAATTCTTGCGAATGTTTTTCAATTTAAATTTCTCCTTGCGTTAATCTTCAACAAGCTGCAGCTGAGAGCGGAGTAGCACTCTCAGCTCTGATAGGTTACGGTTCTATACGTCTGCACTCGTCTTTGGAAACAAGCCAGAGCTCCGGCAAGCCTGCGCACTTCTTCAGAGAATAGATCCCAATCATTAGTGATGGTGTAGAAGTTGAGAACCCCATGCTGAAAGCACATCTGTGGCAACTCATTAACCTCACTCGTCCTGCTGTTTTTGTTTCACTCAATATTGTGGAGTAAGATGAAAAAAAAAACGTCTCTTTCTCTGTATCAGCTGTTGTTAAAAAGGAGCTCTGGGCTAACCCAAGGGATGCACACTATTTCAGAAGATGTTTTATTGAAGAAATAAAATGCCACATATTGGATGTTTTTATGGCAAAAAGGCTTAACTTTATCTTCAAACTGTGATAAAGTTTGATTCTTATATCACAGCGTCCTGCTTATGAGCTCCTATAAAGTGCTTGGAGCTACAAATAGAGGTTCCATATGTTTCTGCTATTAAGAATAGAATGCAATTTGTCCTAAAAATACCATTATTGAAGTTTATTTAATGCTTTTTGATATTGCATGAGATGGGAAGTTGAAAATGAGGTAACACTGAAGAGAACGGAAATTGCCATATGGATGTGCTCCACCCTGAGAGTACATTAAGTACTAAGCCATAGTGTGTGGTGTGCTGGATTGTCAACAACCTCTCTAAGAGCTGAAAGTCCCTTGAGCACAAGTCTCACAGACTTAATTGAGTATGGCCTAATTTGTACCTTGCTTTTTTTCCCCCTATAAAAGCACATAAACGCCCCAAGCATTTAATCTCTTTCCTGTCTTTATATTTCATCCCCCTCCCTCCCACACTCGTTCTTTCTTTTCTTTCTGTCTTTTTCTCTTGCCTCTCCCTCCTACCCTGACAGGCTTTCTTTCAATGTCTCTCCTCCCCTTTAGCGATCATTTAACTTGTACTCAAGCTTGGGACAGTGCATTGCTTGTCTATGGGAGGAGATTTCATATAAGAGTTGCTAGCTTTCATTGCTGAAGTGTTGAGTGGAAAGGAAAATGCTTCTAAGACATTAGCAAGTGCATTAAATCCCCCATAAGTTCCTCCACTGCTAATGAAATGAGCACAACTACAGCGCACATTTGGTAAAAGCATGGACAGCAGGGCTCAATGGACCTTTTTCCTTGCTTGCTTTAGCTTGATGAAAGTGAATTGGATATATACTTTGTTAATGGGCCATTAAAAGGGATGTTCATTGTCAGCATCTTTCTCTGACTTAATAAGGACAGAATCCAGGCAAGTCAGAGATAAGTGAGGAAGAGGCGTTTCACTAGAGGCAAAAGCTGCCTTATTTTGACACGTTCAGATAGTTTGATACTTCAAAAGTGGTTCTAAAATGCGCACCCATGAACCTTTGTTTGTGCAACATTCAAACTACCATGTATCTAAGAGAATTTATGAATGGCCTTAGATCCATGCAGAGTTGTTCCAGCCCAAGCATCAATCTGGAGCCATGGTCTCTGATGTACGTCGCTTTGGATAAAAGCGTCTGCTAAGTGAATTGTAGAATGGCCAGAAGTTTCCGAGAACTTTCGACGGACATCAAACAGCATAGAGCAGCCTTGATTTAGCTAAGAAAAATATATCAAAAACATGTCATTGTCCTTCTCTAAATCCATTTAAATCATTTGTCTTCTAAAATATAAAAAAACATATTCTGCACATTCCACCAGTGCCTTGTATTGTACGATGCTTATTAAGGGATAAACAAATGTTGGCAAATGCTTTGTGGCATCGGGTCCTGTCATCTTAGTGGTTGCATTGCTCAAGAATGTGTGCAGATATGTGGTCTCTTTTATTAGCGTGCAAAAGCGGGGGCATGGGTTAGTCCCCTTATGGACAGATTACTGACGTGACTTTTTGGCGGGCTTCACTGAACTGAAATGCCACATGGCCTGACATTCTAGTTCAGGGCCATGAAACAGAGCTGCTGCCATATGTCAAAGATATTCCTTGGGATAAACCATTGTTTACTCAGTACAATTATTCAATTCATGTAATGATTAGTTGTTGCCATGTTATATTACAAACAGCTTTTGTTGACTTAGTTTAGAGAAAGGAACCGTGGCTATTTTTGACTAACACACTGCCATTGCCATCCAAGTTATTTTCAAGTTAAATTTAGCCCTTTTTCAAGAAAATGTTATCTGCCTCTCTGCCAAGAGTTAAACCTTCTGCATTCTGGATCTTTAACCACAGATTGAGTCAAAAAAATAATAATCGTGTTGCTTCTGTTCAATACTCTGGCGATAGGGATGCAGTAATATTTGTGGAAGTAAACACGTTCATCACCTTGTGGTTTGTTAAAAGTTTTGAGACCTGTGTATCACTGATGAAGGTGCATGCTGAGACTTATCTGTGAATCAAGACCGCTGTATTGTGCTCCAACAAACACAGAAGACCAGAGTGCCTCATTTGCTTTGCTTCTGCAACGCTGAAGTGATCCCAGACGTTCTTAGCCAGATGGTTGATTTTGCGAAGACAGTTGAAATGGCAATATCCACCGAGATGCTGCCATTTTTGTTTGCCACTTAACCACTAAAATAACTTTGCTGAGAAGCCCTGAGGTTTAATATATAAATAATGAGAAAAGGCACTCTGGAGTCAGATGAGGGGCTAAATGGGAGCTATTTATCCTCATTATTTCCTAATATGTACGTGTGTGTATATGTTTGTTCATTCAAATCAAGCTCATTGCAGTGATCTCCCATAATCAAGCCTCATTGTTGTTCATTGACAAACATTCCCATGTGTTGAGTCACAGAGAAGCAAACAAAGACATTCAGATACTCATATCTCTCAGGAATATCACTACTCACTGAATTAAGAGTTGGTGCTTAATTACAACTATGTATCATTCAACACATGGCATTCTTTTTCCATGCACCATTATGGCATTATTGACTTGTACATGTACAGTATTTTTTCCAATCTGGGAATGCCCTACAAGGATAAAAATTACTAGATCAAGATTTAAGATAAAGGACAGGCTTACATCGTACACAGTGTTCAATTTAACCATTTCACAAAACCACGTATAAGGAATAGTGCAAATTGAGAAAAAAATATGATGGCTCGTGCATTAAGCTCCATAGCCAGGAGGCGCTTAGCTTAGCATTGATTCTGTAATCATGGTAAAAATGTTAACCTAGCTAGCTAATAAATATTATAAGAATCTGAGGGGGTTTTACTGCTTTTGCTGACACAAAGGTGATGTGGATCATCATTGTCGTGTCTGTTTGTGCTTAAATTAATTGGGAGATAATGTTCAAGTTAGTAAGCATCACAGATCACCTATTTTTTTTTTTTGTAGAAAGGGCCAGGGATGCTTTTTTTTTAAATGTGCTTCCGGTTTTAACCAAACACTACGCTAACAACACAGAGTTCCACTTAACTCTGCAGTAAAGCACATTCCTAAAATATCTAATAATCATTTATGACCAAACATTTTCTAACTTTTAAACACAAGGTAAAGACATGTCCAAAAAGCCAATCATACCAGATGTTTAATGATTTTCTGTAACTCTATCTCCTCTTTGTTTACAGGGATCACCACTGTTTTGACCATGACAACACTCAGTATCAGCGCTCGCCACTCCCTCCCAAAAGTATCCTATGCCACAGCCATGGATTGGTTCATCGCTGTTTGCTTTGCCTTTGTGTTCTCCGCCCTGATTGAGTTTGCAGCGGTCAACTACTTCTCCACTCTTCAAGCTAACAGGGAGCTGAGAAAGGCGGCGGCCATGAAGGCGGCGGCTCAGGAGGCAGCAGCTGCAGCTGCAGCAGCTCCGGCTGCAGCCACAGGGAACGATACGGAGGTTTCATCAGTAAGTCTTCCCGACGGTTTCATAATTGGTGTTCTGTTGCATACATGTGATCTGACTGCGGATTCAACCTCATGATAGACTGATATGAAACTTAGTTCACATGCAGGAGAGGATTATTGCTGTTCCATACAAAACAAAAAATAACTGTGGTCAGAACCAATGCTGAAATATATTGGAGGGAAAAATGCTTCCCTTTGCCTTTTTACATATATGCATTGCTTCTATTTTTTTCTTTGGTGTGTTGCCTGATGATGGTACACCTAAAATAAGTTGATGGAAATAGTTCTATTTGTTGGTTAGTTGCAGAAAAGAAACACATGGAGTATATATCCTTGTTTGTTTTCTTACTTTTAAGCTCAAACTTTTCAAGTTTTCGCTAGTTTGGCAACAGTTACGAGGGTGTATGGGCAATGGATCCTTTTGTATATTTTAGAGACTCAAACAAAAAAAACGCAAACAGGATGATGATGAACTTAGAGAGAGGCTCATACAGGTGCTGTTTATTGGGCTGATAAAAGATTTAGAAACACCACTTCACTAAAGGAAAAGTCAGTCGGAGCATTGCCGATGATATATGCAGTCATCCCTATGAGAGTCCACGTGGAGTTTTAACATCCTAAACTGTAGCAACAGACAGGTTGTTTTATCAAGTAGACATCAAAGGGTAGGTGTGCATTTTTCCCAGCAGCTGTGTATTAATGCAATGCATTTGGTTGGAGGCACACATTTTGAATTTTTGTGCGCTACTTATATCTTTGCTCTGCTCATTTATACTTCAGGATGCAATGGTAAAATGTTAATTTATTATCTGACATGCTGGCAGCTGATTTGGTCTGATCTTAGTATCTGAGGGTGAAGGGAGCATGAAATTAAATGTAATGCTTGCTGCGTGTGTGCAGGCCCTGCGCTTGCCTCAGTTGTGCTTAATTTTACATTTAGATGTGTGCATGTAGGCAGACTTGTACATTTGCCTTCAGCTGATGTTCCACCTATAGTTTAACATCGAAAGACCTTTCCAATGTCCCTGGACAGGTGTTTATGCATGCTTGCGTGTGCGATTGTGCATTTGTAGGCATGTGTTTGCACATCAGTCGTGTTGGCAGCACATCAATTGATAATACTCTGTTTGAGAGCACCATCACTCCAAAGATGAGCACCCCAATAGCACCTGAAATCAAATGAAAATCTCTGGCCCCACCCAGCACTGGTTGGCTTCATTCTCTGTAAAGTGATAACCTAACTGTTTTTGAACTCTTATATTTATTGCCTTAGATATATGAAAATAATTATAAAAATGAAAATCTGTAAAATTAAACGTAAAATAATCACTTATGAGTCCAGGGGTTTTTATGTTAGCGAAACCACTTACATCACCAAAACAGTTTTCTATACTCAGATATGTTAGCTGACTTTATTTGGAGGTTATGCCTTAAGGGTCTACTTGTACATCCTGTTTGCACTGCAACTATGGTTAGAATAATTGTAGTATTATTATTCCATTAGTGCTGGCTGTGTTTTGTCTAAGAGAATATAGGATGTGATTTCTGTTTCTGTATTTGTTATTTTGTTGCAAAGGGTAACCCAAATAAGAGTAAGATGATACAATAGCTGGTAGACATATCGAGGTTGGATTCATTTCAGTATAATACAAATCTTTTCTTGGCTTTCTTCTTTTTCACCACTTTCAGGAGTCTAGTTTGACGTGCTCAGCTCTTGTCACTTGCTAATCTTGTCTCCACTTCCTCCTCCGATGTCATTTTTGTTTGTCTTTCTTTCTTAATCCATTCTCAGCTCTTTTCCCCTTATATAACACTTTCAATGTTCTGCACTTTTTTCATTTTCAATTTGCTTTATTTGCACAAAATGTAAACACATCTGTGCATGCAAGGCATATAAAGTAAAGGCTGGATGTGGAGAAGTAAAGAAAGGGTGATATAACTGGTGATAAAAAACCTTTCTGGTATATGAACAGTTTAAAATAAACATTTAGCCCTCTGTTATGCATACAGCCAGTGTGTTCAGCCAGTGTGTTGTACTTTTGACAAGGGGTCAAAAGTTTTGCAGTTGTTCTTTGTATTATATCATACTACATATGCCCCCGCCCCAAAAAGAAGAATAGTCACAACGTTTGGAGTTTGTTTTAATATTAAATCCCACTAATATTTATATCTTGTGTCTTATATCTGGGATATCCCCAGAATAAAATGGATAAGAGTTTAAGTACTCTTATGTTTCTAACAATTTTGTTGAGCACACTTTCAATCTATAGTTTACCTTTGATGACTGTCTGTTTAGTCCTCCATATCTCATTTTACAGTTTTGGCAGTAGATCAAATGTTATGAATTGAAATATTTCAAGGCCTGGTACATAGAAGGATTGTGCAGCTTTTGTGCCCACTTAGCCTTTGCAAAGGAATCAAAAAGACACTGATTAATTCACAAAGCATACGCAGGGGTTAAATCCACCCCTAAATGTGCTGCAGAGCAAACAGCATCTCTTTGAGCCACTGCTGGTTTCAAATATTTAAATGAGCCATCATGCAGTCATTTTGGGAAAAACGGTCTCCTTTCCATGATAATAATCCTTGTTTCAAAAATGCGTCTGATTTACAATCACTAGCACTTACAGCCACTCGCAATTAGAGTGGAGCGAAAAACAGCTGCTGAGACCAGGTAGTAAATGTGCCGTAGTATTTATTAGAAAAGTCACAGGCATGTGATCAGGAAGAAAAGACTGCCTCTGTATGACTACGGAATAAATGATTCCCCAATTTGCCCCACTTTCAGACGCAAACCAAGAGCATACTGTAAGGAGCAGGACCACTTTCATTAGCCCCAGTATATGCTTAGTGAATTAGACCTTGAGACGGAGCAGATATCGTGAGCAAATGGTGCACAGTTTTTTGGAGCCATTACGTCAGAAAACAATTCTTAGTGAATCATGCCCTTCGTAGAAGTCTTCTCTATAAGGTGTGAGAGGTGTGAGGCTTGTCTTTGGTTCTAAGGTTTTGCTGGTTGTTCTAGTCAGTTTGGTGAGAGTCATTGTGGGCTGTTAATTTTCGAAACTACCCACAACGGATTCCTCATGAGCTTTATTCATGTAATTGTGTTGGGTTGACATTCTTTTTGGCTTTAGCCTTCTGACTTTGTCCTTTTTTCCGATACGAAAAATATTTACCTCCTGTTCATCTTCTCTGTCCCATCCCACTCATGCACACCACCAAAAATATTGCACAAACATGTAACATTATCCCTCTTTTTTTCTGCATCCTCTCCAGCCCCCTGCAGTGCTCTTCATGTGAGCCTTCTATGCTCTCGACACACAAACACAATCTCTTGACCAACCTTCTTTCGTCTCTCTCCCTCCCTTTTTGCCTGACTGCACTGTCCACATATCCAAAGTGAAACAATGTCCACTTTATCCACGCCTCACAGTCCCACACATCCACATATAATCAGCAGCACACATTCACACTCACATATACACACTTAATCTGCAGTACATGATGCCCCACATATCCATACATTTCAATCATCACTCCATACAACAATTCATCCATCCATCCATCTATATTCCATCCATCCCTCTCACCCAGTCCTCTATTCTGCCCCGTTACTAAGTAATAACCGCAGAGAGTTACAAGAGGAGACAGGCAGTTCCTCTGTAAATGATGTTGCTGCAGATTATGCAAGAGCCATAGATTAAGGGAATAGCCGACGGATCATTGCGAGGTCAAAGGAGAAGGGGGGCCGCCACCACAACAAGGCCGAGTAGGGTGGCTGAGAAAGCTGGCCCAGTGTGGTTTCTGTGGAGCGGGACAGAGAGGTGGATGTGAGGGGCCGCTGTGGTTTATTTTTCTGCTGTGTTCTTTTTGTGCGTTCGTGAGAGCGCGTTACACTGACAGAAAGAGAGAGTGGGAGGGATGCATCATGGAAAATGACTGCTTTCAACAAATATGTAGGAGGGAAGACTCTTCATTACACAGAGAAAAGAGAAAAAAAAAACAATGGTGTATCATCGGGAATAGAAATAGCCCTCCACTAGTCACGATTTAAAACAGTACGACCTGTTGTGACTGTCAGGTAGAGCCATAACAGGAATAGAAACCTTCATAAAAAAACACAAGACAAGTAGCTCGTTTAATGAATCAAATACACAACTGTAAGCACAAAGGGGAAGGGGGTGTTTATCTGTGTGTGTAAAGGGCACTGCATGCATTGTCGGTGTGGTGTTTGTGAGTAGGTGGTGCAGTATGTGGTGCAGGAAATTAATAGAAAATAAAAACAGTCGTGGGAGGAGAAGAAGCAGAGGAAAAAGTGAGAGAGAGAGGAGACGAAGAGACCCTTATTTATAGGCTCAGCCACAGGTGCTGGGAATCCAACGACGGGTGATCACCACTCAGCTGAGGCGACTTCCTTTTTCATACCAGGGCCGTTTTAGTTTCAATAATAATGAGTCGTTATTAGTGTTATGATTTCCAAGCTCAAGAAAGAGCGCTGACTCCGAAAGACGCCATGCACTACAGAAATTGGACATATTTAAGTCCCACCTGCAGTAGAGAAAACAAATCTTTTCTTTCTGTTGACTTTGTAATGAATTCAGATGTTACCTCGTCACTCCTGTCTGCTAGCATTGACAGACAAATTGCTTAAAACTTCAGTGTGGTGGAGTGTTTTACCAACAGGGTGCAGAACACAGAACTAAGATTTTAAATCTTTAGGAAGAAAAGGTGCAGGATCCAGGCAAAACAAAAAGAAGCCTCAGCATTAGGAAGTTATATAAGGCCTCTAAAACTTTATGGGGGTTGAGACTCAGCTGTGCTAGGCTTGGTTTTAATCTTGTTGTGGTTAAATGACTGACTGATGAATTACTGCGTGACTCAGAGGAAACAGTTGTAATACAAAATTAGTGTTTTTAATCTCTGGCCATTTATTGGTATAATATCTCCAAGAAGTCGGTTTACTATATTCTCTCTGGTATACTGGGGCTGTATTTGTTT